CACTATCGCAAATAGGCCTATTGAAGTATTATTGAAGTATTATTAATTCTTTATTAAAGCATTATTCGAGCACCTTCAATATTATTATTATTATTATTATTATTTTAAAAAAAAAAGATTATTTTTTAAAACAGCAGAATAAAATAGATAACATCTTTATTTAAAAAAAAACCAGGTTTTGCATAGACGCAAGTTGATTTAATATATGCTGATTCATCTCATTAATTAAACAATTTTTATTCATTTCGAGCACTGTTATTATTATTATATTATTATTATTATTATTATTATTACTACTATTTTATTTTTAAATTTTTGTTGTTTTATTTTTTGTTTTATGTATGGGCCTAGATATAGGCTATGTATATATTTAATAATTAGAAATAATTATAATTTAATTATAAAACATATATAATATAATGTTAACAATATTATAGGCTAGGCTAGACCTCACCAATTATTGATACCATAATCTATAGATAAAAACATCCATTTGATAATTAAACAGCAGCTTTTCGAGTGGCAGTGCCGATAGAAAACTGCAGTGTTTTGGCACTGCGGCAGTGCCGATAGAAAATCGGAGCTTTTTTCGCACTGCGGCAATAATGCCGATAGAAAATAACAGCTTTTTTGGCACTGCGGCAGTGCCGATAGAAAACAGCAGCTTTTTGGCACTGTGGCAGTGCCGATAGAAAACAGCAGCTTTTTTTCGCACTGCGGCAGTGCCGATAGCCTCAGCCTCCCAGGACAAACTTATGCTAAATTTGCCAAAAATTATGCCAGCACATATGCTAAATGCAAAACGGGTCTATATTATGCCAAAAAAACATAATTATGGGAGGTCTGGTCACTATGGTCACTGAACTTTGTTTCGCGAGGGGGAGATCAGGCATGTATATTCATGTATATCAGTTCACCAAACGGATCTAAAATAGCGAACTCATAATTTCTGCCTTAACTGTATGGAAAAAAGATAATACGGCCGGGTTGGCCACAGCACCCCTTTTGGGAATTAAATACAAAAAAAAAAAAAGAGGAAGAAAGGAGGGAAGGAAAAAGAAATAATTGATCGTCCAAAAATCTGAGGTTATTTGCATGCGTCTAGAAAAGCAGGATAATAGCTAACCGAGGCCTAATAAATAATTAATAAATTGAAACCTTATGAAACCTACTATTTCATTACATACATAATATGTAATATTAATAACACATTACATAATATGATAATATATAATAATACATTACATAATATGATAATATATAATAGATTACATAATATGAAACCTTACTATTCTTCTACCTTACGGGAATATCTGATACAGAATGGCTGCAGTAAATTTATAAAACAGTTTTACAGTAACGATATTCACCAACACATAACTATTTGGAAGTTTTATATCGACTGATTATCCTTCATCAGCCAATGGTGGCCAATTGTCTTTGAAGCAAGCGACTACTTTATCACCTATAGGAAGGTCTACCGAAATATTAAGAAATAGAGGAACATTGTCTACATACCTACAATCAAGCTACACGAGTACCCCCATGGAGCCTGTGTATATATAAGTCCGTCTGCATACACTGACTGAGCAGTACCGTTGATAAAACCACCGCCGACCCAAGTAGCTACAGACAAATTATTCAAAGTACAGTTATAATTTTGAATTTAAAAAATAAAGCACCATTCAACTACCTCAAAAACAACAGCATGATCAACATCAACAACTACTACTACTACTGTAAATACTAACAGTAATTAGAATAAAACAATAACAATAGAAACAACTAAAATAATGAAAAACAACAAAAACAATAACAACAAAAACAACAACAGCAATAATTTTAACAATAATAATAATTATAATAATAATTTAATAATTTAATAATAATAATTTAATAATTTAATAATAATAATAATAATAATTATAAAAATAGTAATTATAATAATAATATTTTAAAATAAAGTTACAACTTTAATACTGGAAAAATAACTAGAAAAAAGACTTTTTTTTATATAATATACTAATAATCTTATAAATACAATAGCAGCAGCAGCAGCAGCAGCAGCAGCAGCAGTAGTAGTAGTAATAATAATAATAATAATATTTAACATAAAAATAACGCTAAAAAGAAAAGATCGATTTCTTTATTTATACAAAACGCACGGTACTCAAATAATAATAATAAATAATAATAATAATAATAATAATAATAATAATAATAATAATAATAATAATAATATTTAATTAACAATAATATATTACTACATATTTTTTTACATCCAACAGCAAAGAAATTTGCAATTGTATTATGTAATGAAAGTGTCTCGAAAGTAATTATAGGACGTACTGAGCATTGGTAGGGCAAAACATAATTCCAAATGTCTAATTATTACTTAGCACTAATAATTGCATCTTGCTGAAAAGTAGACAGCAATAGACCGAATTAGCGATCGACGCTGTTCAGCTAGTGGTAGCCTGGGTTCCAGGCCCTAATTTCGGGTTACTCACTCTTTATTGCACTTAGTGCGCGCCATACCTAATTTAAATGGCGTCCCATACTCGATTTCTTTTTTTCGGATACCTGGGCGCGATTTTTTTTCCCGAAACATTTGCATGAAACTTCACTCGGGCCATCTCGGATTGACTCGACTAAGTTCTATACGAGGAACAAGAGCAGACACTTCGCAATGTCGTGACGCTCGAGTTTTACTATTATTGCTCTTTCTATGTTTACCTACGCTAGGCCTATGATATCCCATGATTTATGGGATTTACGTGTGTAACTAACTGTGACCTTCTTGAATGTTTATTAAATGTTAGTATAATATCTACAACAACAACAACTAGTACCCCCTTTTATAAAGTGTTGATAGGTACAGTAATACCTAAGGCTAGAGAGAAAGTGGATAAACTATGGGCCTAACTACAGGCTAAGTTAAGTCCTACCTAGTATAGGCCTATAGTCACGCTTTTCATACAGACGTTGATTGAAATTTTGAAAAAAAAAATGGAAAAAAATTAAAGCTTGAAATAAAAAATAGAGTGCATAAGAGAAATATTATTAAATAAATAAAATATACGGTACCATTCGGCGGCGTTAGTGTACTTGGCCAAACTATTCTTGTAATGTAATTAATGTTAATAATAATAATATATGTTAAAATTTAAAAAGTTAAAATAACATTTTTTTACTCGTGAATCTCAATCAAATATTATGTCATTTTACACGACCCATTAGTATTAGCAATGGTAACATCAATGTATTTAAAAAAAAATAGACAGCAACGTTCTCTCAGATCAGATCAGAAGTTGTTGATGACCTTTTGACCTGAATTCTGCAATACAAGATTTTCGGATGATTTAGTCGAGACGGCCCGAGTGGAGTTTCATGTAAATGTTTTGTACGAAAAAAAAAATCGCTACCTTACCTGGGCAAACAATTCATGCGTACGATTCCCCACATCAAATTCGATGTGGGATATCGTATGCATGACTGATTTTGTAAATCACGTGATTGGCTTACTTCATGCATAATAATTATTTTTGGTAAATTTTCAAAAATTGAAGATGCGGATGTCTCGACTAGGACAAGCTAAACCAGCTCTCTTCTGCCTACCTACTTGAATTAAAACAGTTAATAGTCCTGGCCTGCTGAGGACGACTATGGACTGATAACCGTAGTAGGCTATACTTGCTCACCGCTAGCTGCTACACAGATTTAGGCCTTTGGGGTAGAATATTGTTAAAAGGGTAGGCCTCTGTAAGTATGAACTTAAAAATAGGCCAAGCCTCACTAGGCTAGGTCTACTACTTCTGACTCAAGAGGCCTGAGCAATCCTCCAGGAAGTGCTGTTGTATTTGTAATGGTATGGTATGCCATCTAGTCTATTGTTTTTGCCATTGCCAAAATTAGCCTTACTACGGTCTATTCTAAATATTTTAGGCCGTTTTATTAGGGAGGACTATTTTTAGTCATGCCTAACTAGTCGACGGGAGTGACTCAGTTTCGTGGCTCCAAAAATATGAACATTTGATTGGTTGAAATTGTTTATTTCGCTCCGCCCATTTATCCAAATACGGAATATAAGATTACGTCATTCTTTGTCAGCGTTTTACAAGTCGCTTATTCCGTCTCTAAATTAACTTTCTCGTTGGTGGCGCTGTCCAGAAAGAGAAAATAATAAAAAAAAATAAGAGACTTGTGGCAAGTCTAATATAGTGGGTATTTGAACCAAAACGAACGCACGAAGATAGGCGATTTACACAGTAATTTAAGAAAATAGCCTTTACTAAAACGTCTCATACACGCTGTGTGTAAAGTTGAACGCGATTTAAATTTACAGAAACCATTGTTACATGTTTATGAATGTAACGGTCATCTTTTCTCTACGATTATGTATGCCAAATGTGAGATATAACGAGAAAAAATCGTAGTATTTTGGGAATAAAACGTACACTGGTCGTGTCTGCCTGTGTTACAGGTCGTGCAACAAGTGTCAGGGGCCGAGGCCTAGCCTGTAAAAACGTATATTTAACTTAATTTAACATAAAAATCAAATCAAACGTCTTCTGATGGTTCTATGAACCTTCCTTAACCTACCAATGTTTTAAAAAGTATTTTACCCGCGTATTTTTGTTTTTTTTGCTTGTTTTCCTGGACCATACAAAAATTCGCAACGTTATAGAATAGGACTTTTAGGCTTTGTTTACAATTTTATACACACTCGGCCAAATTGTGATGACGTCATCTTTCGTCGCTAATTCGGTCTATTGATTCCAAATATACACACACTAAATCTGGCAGGTTTACTGAAATAGGAATACGCACATCCTATTGCTATTTAATAAATTTTGTATTTTTGTATTGTATAAAGAAAGAAGTAGTTGATGACGTAATGTCAGTATTGTTGTTATTATTATGCAATACCATCCGTATCCTTTAGGGCCTACATGCAGGTTTCTCAGCAAAAGAAGACCTGTGAATCCTGACGACGTCGTATTGTAGGAGATGCAGTTTTATATGGACAATACGGCCATGATCTTTTTAAAAATGAAAATAGAATTAATCATATTATTAAAAAGCGATAATAAAAATTAATGACAATAGATGATTAAATAGTTGTATATTAAATTTATCTTTAAAACCCACGGACTCTGAGTAGCTCTAAGTTTCAATCACGGACACAAAAACATCTAGCCTATGTCCCAGACCCTAATTATTTTGGAGTTTTGAATGAATAACATATAATTTCACTCAGTGCGCACGCCATAACAAAATATTGGCGTTTTTTTGTTGTCAACAATGAACAAAAGGTCAAGTAATGTTGTAATAATTATTAATAACCCTTTGTGTGTCCTCATTCTAATAGGAAGTCGGAAATTTGGTCTGGGTACCAGTGGCGGCCGCAATGCAGCACTACTCCAATAGCAACATAGCTGACAAACATTATCCTAACTCTCAATATGAAGGATTTTCGCTCAGCCGCTTATGGGTAGTATAGTAAGAGCCATAGTATCTGTGATATAGTTTTAGGTAATTTTACACAGAAAATAAATATTCATAGACCTATATGTTACCGGTATATATGACATCTATGAGACATCTATAATAAATGAGCCGACACTGTTAAAGCAGTGACGGGTCTAGGAATTATTATAGAGGAGGCTGAATTAGTGATGAAATAACTAAAATATTACATTATTTTAACGTTCGTAACGGAAAAATCTTGTACACTAAATGCTAATAAACTAGAAGACGGATTACAATGGACATTTTTTACATGATAAATATTGGTTATAAAGAGCCGACACTTAAAGAGTGTCGGCTCTAGGGAGTATTACAGGAGGTTTATAGCAAACGATAGAAAGGGTAAGGAGAGTAAGTACCGGTATTTAATGGCTCAACATAATTCCAGTGAGAAAGCGTATGGAGAGAGGAGGTGGGGGCATACACTAGTTGGTTTGCTTTAAGCACATACCAAAAATAGATACGCCCCTAACAAAATATGATTATATCCCGGAAAAAAAGATCGAATATAAGATTAGAGAAAATCTGAGCATATTAACAAGAACTAGAAAGAACTTGAAATTCATAAATTATTAAATTGACTCTCACCTGTCATGGTAAATACACCTATAGACAGGCCAATGCTTCTTCCCGCAAGCATCACCTCGTCCGTGGAAGTACTGCCTTTAGTTTTCTTTGAGGCATACAAACCAATTGCCAGAATAAGTATGTAAAAGATGATTACACCAACAAGGCCAGCCCAATTAACTGCCATTTTCAGAGTTTCTTGTATACTATTATATTACTGTGGAAAAAAATAATAGGCCTAAAGGTGATCAGATTTGTATATGAAACAGTCACGTCGGCTTGACTATAAACATGTCCTATATAGAGTACACCATATAATTTATAATTATGCAACTCAACTTTAATTCAAGTATAAGGATCAATCCAATAGTAATAAGTATAACAAAAAAAAATAAATAAAAAAATAAAAAACGAGAAGACATTAACATGAATGGATTTGTTATCTCAAATTCCCTGGTTAAGGAAAATCCTAACCTGTACAATTATTAATTATTATCTCATACCGCACATGAATTACACAAAATCTGATTGTGGTTCTCTTAATTTTGTACATTTTTTTACTTAAAGAAAATGACCTTTTCAACACATTTCTGAAGGCCTGCAGTTGATATTACTTTTAATAATGATACCTTATATACTAAATATTAGGTTGAGGCTTAGGACGTGATTATGTCATGGCTTACTTTAGACTTAATGTGTTAAAAAGAATTTGGCTTTAGTACTACCAATTTGTAATATTACAGATGTTGGTAATATTTATGTAACACACTGTGAAGCCCTACATTTTGAAACGGTAGTAATATTAACCCTGTCCGGTTTAATATTTAATTAGGACCTATTTCATTAATTTGCTAAAAAAATAGAAAGGATGAAATATAGGCCTATAGAGGAGATCGTAACGCTGTTTTACAGTATGCTCCTACAATAATATAATAAACAACATACAAGAAGGCTACCTAAAACAATGTAATAATTATACTTTGTCCGTTAATTAGCTCATTGGTTAGATTAAATTACAAAATACCCCTCAAACTATAATCACTCACGGCTAATAACACAGTGATTTCATGGTATATTTCCTGGTTTTAAATTAATTCTTTACAAACCCCACTGAAAAAAACTTCTTGTGTAAGGCACTATAAAAATCCGTTGTACTCTGTGTATATTGTCTGCTATTATTGTAGCGTTATAGGATTACTGTCCACCGTAACAAGAATTTAAGAGAACCAATAGGATCATTGCACACTATAAGGTAACGCTGTATTATTTACCTAATAAATAAACCTTTACTATAGGAAAATACGTCAATATTAAACGCTTAACCTGCATGCGGTGATGCCTTTTACATAGCACATTAGCTTTAATGAAATAGACACTGTATTTTCATCTATTCAAAAATTGTCCTTTACTATGTTTAATTATTAATAATGCAGTGTCCCAATTTTCTGTAGTCTAGTTGATAAACGATAAAAAATAAAGTTATAACATACCGGATATTATATTGTAGATATTGTTTATGAATATAGCGGATAGGCCTATTGTTGATAGTGTTGTTTAAAGTTTCAAAAGGCGTAATGCATACTTTTAACGGGTCTAGACCTATTGGCTAAAAGGCCAGTTTGAAAAGGGCCGGGTGGCAATAGGTGGGGAAGAGATGGAACCCTCTTCTAACACCAAACTTTTCTTCCAAAATTTCAAGTAAAATACTACACTGAAGCCATTGAAACAATTACAACACAGCGCATAGTGCTTATTGAGATTTTCCCTTTTTGGACTGTGTTTTGTTTTTTGTTTGACTAAGCAATAATGACACTATCAGGTTTGAAAACTATTTAGTTAGGCCTACAAGTGATGTTTATGGTTTTCGAATTAAAATCAAGTAAAATAATTTTGATTTTGTGGTATAAAATTGAAAATAGTCTATACGCCTATAGTCATGCATTAAGATTTTGAGATCGAATGAATTAAAATTGTGTAAAATTTAAACTAAGAATTTGGAACTATAACTAAATGCGATTCAACATTGTCATTGTATATTTTTAAAATGAAAATTTCCCACTTCCCATTTACAGAAAAAATGAATTGGTTTATGTAGTGTTGCTTGTTCTTTAGTGAGTTCTATTCTATTGTTGTTAGGGTTTAACAAATCGCTTTGAGTTTGACTTCTTCCTTACACCCATTTTCCATAACACATCATTTATTCATGAACTTCAGCTTCAATGGTGTCGTATGTCCAATAGATCCTTTAAATCATTACACGGTCGATTAGTGATTTCTTTACTTAGGGAATAATAAGATCACAAAAAGTTGAGGTGAAGCAAACTTTTCTAATATTGTGTTGGTTTGAACTACCTCTGAGTTTTAAATTTTCTTCACACTCAATGTCCATACAATGAAACTTTACAGCTAAGCCCTGCCCCCATGGATATTGTTGCAATGGTTAAAACATACGTAAACACCTGCGTATGTGGGACAACGCGTGTGTTTGTTAAACACGTGCGTATTCCTGGACAAGTTCGGATTGGTCAGTTCTTAAGTATAATTAACACTCCATCAGCTCGGCAACATACAGGTGATCATGTCTAATGTAAGCTTTTGATTAGTGATTTAATCTAATCTAATAAGATAGCAAAAGTTCCGGGATGAGTAAACTATCCACGATTATGAAATGTAATACATGTTTATCGTGCACAATGGTGTGTGATTTCACCTTTTCCTGATGACCTAAAATTCGTTAATAACAATTAATACAGATTACGTTTTTTAAGAATACATTTCACAGGATGAGTTACAAATTTATGGATCAAGCTATGCATAAAGTTAATTATACAAATAGACAAGGTGTACACATTGCTTATACAAGAACCAAAAGAACAAGAGAGTTGATGCCCGAAAAAAAAATAATAAAAACCAGGTTGAGTACGTTTATTAAAAGAGTAGCTTGAAATAAAATTTTGAAGATGACGGGGAGCAATTAAAGGCCCATTCCCGGCAAGATTTCAGTTGTTAGGAAAAATCTGATTTTTATATGTTATAAAGATTTTAAACAATGAGGTGTCTTAATTTTGAAATTATAACTCCTGGTTGAAATATGTAATACAAGTTCGAAGAATACCATAGGATTTACATCATCGAGGGACCATGTAAAAAATTGAATCAGGCAAGACCTCTGTAGACACATAGAAAGACACATAGAAATCAGGGTCTAAATATTATGATTTATTTAAAGCCCCATTCCTGAAAAGATTTCATTTTTTCAATTTTTATATCATAATGTTATATATGTTTATAAATGTAATACGAAATTGCTAATTTAACTGAATTTAGACATTCTTAAACATGAAAAAAATAATATGTAAAATAAGACTGAAATTTGATTTTTTTTTAGTTCCACACAAAAAATAAATGCGGATGAATTTTTCGATAGGTTTGCGAAGAAACAGGCGCCGAAAACATCCTATCCAACACTGCTAGGCAGGCCTAGCCTTACCTCGATTTAGGTTCTGTTATCACACATAAAATCGGAAGACATGATATTTTCCGTTGCTAGTATTGACACTTGTGAAATATAATATTTCATAGGAATTATTTCAAATCTGTTAAAAAATGATTCTGACTAAGATTTTGACAATTTAACAAACATATCTCAAGCCTACTCGATCGATCGCAGTGTGCGAAGTACAAAAACCAATTTCATTAGAGAGGGCGCACTTTATTGACTGTATAAAGTATACTGTACATAAAAGCGAGAGAATTCTAGCGGATGCGATCTACAACCTCTGAATTTGCCTAGTAACGAAGAATTCGTCGAGAAAATGGTAATCTCCTATGAGAAATAGTCTATTTCTCATAAAAAAATTCTTACTTGCTTAAAACTAAAATTTATGCCAATATTTTTCCACTGCTTATAATAAATAAAGTAATGCATAGGCCTATGCATTTTTTCTAAAAAAAAAAAAAAATCTTTTTTAGTGAAACGATGCCGGGAATGGGGCTTTAAATAAGATAGTTAGAGCATGCTGTGCAGTAATAGAAATGGAGTCTGAAATAAATAAATATTTAAATTAGACATAAAATACAATTAATAACAGTGACTTTTCACTAAATCTAGAAAAGAAATAGTACCGTACTTCTTTACGACTTAAGAAAATGAGAGATTCGCATGCTGACTGTCAAAACATGCCATAGCTGTTACTGCTTAGCTTGAATTATTCTTGTAGGTCTATTATAATTGATTGGCAAAATAAAAAGCATATAATTTCTAGTCA